TGTCTGGTTTATGAGCTCGTTGCTGTCCTAATTTAGGATCTTCTTTTTAATAAATTCTTGAAAATGTTAAAAAAAAGAAACGTTCCTGGTAAGAATGGTCCGTAGTGTCATATTACTCTGTAGTTATCATGTCCAGACATGAATATACTAGTGTGAAGAGTTTGTTCTGCTTCTCATCATAAAGTTAGACAGTACTTTTCTGTGGCAAGCTGGCAAATAATTGGCAAGAATAATTTCTATTTATATGTAATTAGTTAGAGTGTAAATTAAGAATCACACACACACATACACACACAAATGTTAGAACTAACACAGTTTTGTAAACCATTGTATGATGACATGTTCATAGAAACCTCAAAATAAATTGGACTGTTGAAAATGGTTTGTAAGCCATGATTTTTTTTCTTTTGGATGAGTTTTGTTTCCTCTGCATTACGAGTGCATTGAAAAGTCTTAACTGTAGTAAAAATAATATCAGCAATTAATTTTAGAAGTCACTAAGACCTTACTATGTTCTAACTTTTTATTTGAACTTTTTTTTCATATTTGTAGGTTTGTTTTTAATAATTTAAAACCTATAAAAATTACAGTGTACTGCTTTTTTCTAAATATCCATGAATTTGAAATGTTTGACATAATTTATCATCAAGTCATTTGAGATATGACAAGTTTATGTACATTCTATAATGTTTGAAAACTTAAAAACTTGAGTTAGGATGTTTGTATTATTACAGCTGTTAATGTAATGGTTTAGTAATCAAACATTATCCAGAAGTTTCAAATGAAATTCAGTTAATATAGCTTTTAGTGGTTAAGGTGGGGATGGCAGGTTATTATTATTATTATCTGCATTTGAGAATCTTGGAACAAAAATGAGTGGTCACAATAGTTTAGGATATTTTACAACAACAGTGTAGTCAGTGGTAGTTTTCACTTAACTCTTACAACAATATTGAAAGCTATACAGATATTAATTATTTGATACACTTTTCCTACACATTTTTTGCAATTTAAAATGCACTTTATTTGAAAATTTTTTTGCCAATGACAGTATCTCAGTGTTAGCATTAACTTTCATCCAACATTTGCAACAGATAGCTCTTAAGTGAAGTATGAATAGCTTATGAATGCTTTAATTGGATCCCTTTTGTATTTGCTTCTGTCTGCACCACCTTCATCCAGCAAGAAGGGTTGTTCAGCATCCAGAGTATAAATAAGTATAGGTATCTTTCTATTAAGTTGAATCAAGAAATGCAATGGTTAAAAATCTGTTTAAATGTGGGCAGATCAGCAAAAATTACTGAAAACAAAAATGATTTTTATGCAGTTTGCTTGAAATAAAGAACATAAACACATCTATGTTGTAGAACTATGTGAACTTTATGGCATAAACTGTAGTTTAGAGTATTGACTGTATCTCACAACAATTTTGAAAATTTGACAACCTAAACAATTATAGATATACTAAATCAACTTAAAAATTTTTTTAAATCAAATTAGATACTAATTAGTCAGTTTGTTTAAATTTTTATGCAATTTTATTAATGCCACTGTAAGAAAAAAAAGGGATGTCAGTGACACACCTCTAGACTAGAATGGGTTAACACAATAACAAAAATCTCTGGAATTCTCTTCTATAAATGCCACATTAGCATAGGATCCGTGGGTCTGGATTTTTGGGATTACAACCATAATAGAAACTTAAGTAATTATTCTAACAAAGCTTTCTTGTGATTGAGTGTGGTAAATATGATAAGTAAGTGAACAATAATAGGTTGGAAAACAATGATTTGTAAGCATAAGGAAGAATTTTATTGGTGGTGGAACATACTACATGTTTTGAAGGAACGTTAGTATTTGTTCAGATAGACCAGTATTCTGTTGAAACATGTAGTATGCTTACAAATCATTGTTTGCCAACCTACGATTATATTAGCATAACATCTTTCTTACTCAAATACGTGAACTTTAGAAATTTTGTTCAGTTGTTGTATGGGTGGGAAGTAAGTAGAATGTTTGTTGAAATTTTAAGCTTGTGATTGTGTTGGGTCTGGAAATCATGGTAACTTACTTTGTATTTTTCTGTTATTGTAATTTATTACTGATCTTCTAAAGTTTGTTATATACTTGAGATTTATTGACATATATGCTCGTGTATTAATTCTGGTGTTTGATGTTTTTAAATTGCCACTTACTTTGTTGGATTTACAGTTACACACATAACAAATATTTCTTTAACAAATTGTAAAAATTTTATATTTATGTATTGCTGTAGATATAAAATAAACAACCATTGAGAAGTTTTGAAATTAAGTTGTTGTTTTTCCAGAGAAGGTTTTAATGTATACATCTCACCTTTGAGTTAAATGTAATACATTGTAAACAATTCTAGCTTGTGGAAGAGCTCTTCCCTTCTTACATACCTTACACTAAATTTGTTTCTTATTTTAGACAATAACTTGTGTATCCAATCAAATTCCATCAGTCTTGCACCATTATTGAAGTTTTAGAAAAAATGACTGTACTGACCAAGCAAAATTCTTTCTGCTAAAGCAGAATATTTATAAGTAACAACTTTAGTCAGTGAAAATTTGCTGATGCATAATTCACAGCATATATCTTAAGTTATATTCCATATGCTAAAATTTTGTTTTTGGATTGTTCATCTTAATAGTATTGATGATAAAATGTAATAACAATCTTTAATATGTGCAGAGAGAGTTGACAGTTACCATTATCAGTGGATCCTAATATGTTAAACTTATATTTTTTATGTTTGACTTTTTATACTGATGATGACAGTCACTGTACTTTAACTCCTTAAACCCGTGATTTTTTGCATGTTCTTCCGGAATTATTTTCATGATTTCCTAATAATTAGCAACATACCTTATAAAACTTCAATTTTGTGGATAGTGACAAGGCTTGGATTAGTTTTCAGCCAAAGAGACAAATGTTATCAGATGCTGTCACTGTCTGATGGGTAAATTGGGACTTTCAGTCGGGCGCTGGAAGCATCCGCTCGGGTTTAAGGAGTTAATACTGTTTCATTATAATGGAATATAGGCAGCTCTCAATAGTAATATACTAAAGTACAACCTAACATTGTCTCAACCATTTTCTTTCTTTTTTAACTATTTTTGATTTTATTTAATTATTATTAAAATGCAAAACATACATCTATTTATATATACCAAGTTGAGCATAAATGTAACAATTTTTCAAAACTTACAAATGCAGTTGGTCTTTCTGTACAGAAAAGATAATACTATGAAATATCCTTTACCTTTACCATAGAAAGTTTCATTCTGCTAATATCTTTCATG